GGAGAGCTTAAGGAAAATTTAAAGGAGTTGCTTAAGTCAGGAGGACTGCCTACTGGATGCATTCCACAAGTTTTGTCTTTCCAACCTTCTCCGGATGCAGAGCAGATACGTCTAAAGCCAAAAACCACGGGATTGGAAAGATGGGAAGCTGACATGCGGAAAAACACAGAGCTGGCAGGTGTGGCCTTTTGGGATCTTCATGCACAAGCCGCAATCACCTAGGTGTTTTACTAAACGCTGATCTGACTAGCAATCAAGAAAAATGACACTTTTAGGCAGCTTTAGAAATATTGCATCTGGAATACAGCTGAAGAAGTAACTAAACAGTAATTTCCTACATAATACATTTTGACAACAAGATAACAGGGAAATGAGTAACTACAGGTTGGAAGAACCTTGCAAGCAATGCCACTTTTCAAATGACTGCAAGGAATGCAAAAACGCTATGATCAGAGCTTTGGTTTTCCTGAAAACCTAAGCCTACATTTTGCTGCAGAGTTGCAGAGCCCAGTAACCCACTGCTTACCAAACTGAAAATTTAGAGCATCCTCACTCACCTTTTAAATTGAGAATTTTCTAATGCATTAAAAGGAAAATGCGTAATTATAATCAAGGCTACGGTTTTTATCATCTCTGCTTGGAAATGGAATTTGATTTACTGAGTGACTCTTGCAGACAACAGCAAAGAGAACACTTAACTGGACCATGTAGGTTGTCTGGGAGTTTGCTGGAAATTTGGAGGCTGAGCAGGAAACCATGAAAATTTTTTGTCAGCTAAAAAAATCATGGGAGGCATTCTGAGACCGTGAGCAGCAAGAGAGGTTAAAAAGCATACTAATTTTATTTGCAATTTTTAGATTTCATAGTCAATCCACTAAGTGAAATCGGGTGGCCTGCATTTCTCCGATGCATCATTTCTGGGGTCTGCAACATCAATGGTATTATTCTGGGGCTCTGTTGTTTATATTTCTAAGTTATCATCTGGAACAGATCCCAATCACAAAACCTTTTTTTTTTTTTTTAAAATGCACCTAGCGCTTTTGAAGCATAATCCCATTGCTGAGTAGACTGCATTGCAAATTCTTTCGCTGCGTGATCATGAAACATAGGGCCACATGTAGGACATCTTCCAAGCCAGACAATGGCTCCTGCTTCCAGCAGGACTCCATTCTCCTTCATGTTGGAGTGTTTCTGGAAAGACTGCACGCACAGCAAGCGAAGCATGTCCTTCCCAATAGGGATTCATCTGCACTGCTCAGTGCTTTCCATATAACATTTCGGTGAGTTGGAGACAAACTAAGTTGAGTGCTAGAATATTAAATTACTCTCAGCTCTCAAATAACAGCAGACTGCCTTTATTGCTGGCTGCCTTGCAGGATGAACTACATTAACAACTAGTCTATCCTCATCTTTGGACCAGAAGCAGGAGTCTTATCATGGCAGGAGATGCTGCTACGATTAGGACTGTTGCTTAAATGAGCGTGTCTTATTTGTAGCTGGATCAGATTTCACTGTAAGTTACCACATGTTAAAAAATAAAGGTCCTGGCAGGCATGTATCCTATTCACACAATGCTCCTCGCTAATTTTGCCATTAAAAAAATAATCCCAGAACCAATGCCGTTAAAGCCCAATAACATAATTTAACAAAAAAATTGTCAGGCAGAGTCTACTGTGATTTGAGAAGAACTGTGCCTGACATTTTTTTGTTAAATTATCCTGCTTCTCAAATCACTTTTTCATTCTGCAGAATTTCTCCAAGTAAATTTAAGTCCTAGAAAATGAACAAACAGACTTCTTAAACTGCCAAAGTGACCTGCTATGTCTCATATATTTCACCAAGAGTTTAAAAACAGCTCCAAAAACCTCACTAACGCAGAACGTCTAAAAACTCCCATGGACAGTTTTTATTTCATAGTGCATCACATGACAGAGTTTGAGAAAAGTCCAGGATACCTAGGTAATACAGAAGCAACCTCTTAACTAGTTCAGTCATGAATAAATCCTACGAATTAATGATTATGAATGCACAGAACATTAACTTTTGGATTCCTGC